TCTCAATATTCTTTCATTCCTAGAGATCCTTTTATCTCTGTGTGCCTCAGCTTCTTTGCATTCCTCTTCTCTTCTTTCTATTCCATTTACAGTCTCTTCTTCTGCATCTAATCTGCTTTTAAATCCCTCCATTTTATGTTTCATTTTGCATATGGAATTTTTTAATGATTGAATATCTTTCCTAAATTCATCCCTGAGTTCTTGAATATTTTTCGGTACCTCCATGAACATGTTTATGATTTTTATTTTGAACTCTCTTAGAGGAAGATTGGTGAGTTCAGTTTCACTTGGCCCTTTTTCTGGTGTTTGTGAGATTTTTGTTTGAACTAGGTCCCTTAATGTTTCAGATTTGTATGTGGTGTCCTGTAGTGCCCAGAAGCTCTTGTTTCTGGAGGTGCTCAGACCCTGGAGTAATGTGGGGGTCACAGGGTAGCAGCGCTGGTGCCGGGGGAAGAAAAGAGCTGTTTCCTGCTTCCTGGCTGCATTGCCTGTCTACACTGTCAAAACCAGTGCACCAAGCACACAGGTGTAAGCCTCTGTGCTTTGCGTCTGTAGCTGCCATAGGCTAGGCCTTCCTCTATCTAGTCTGATGCCAGGGCAGGGACTGCCTTTGTGAGCTGGTGCCAGCAGGCCAGGAGGAAGGTGCAACAGGCTGCGTATTCACAGTGGGGAGCCTCAGAGGTGAGTAGCCAGCCAGGGGTCAGATTGCCTGAAGGTCCTGAGAGTTTCCAACCTGCTGGGCAGAGTATGCCCAGACAACCTTGTGCACCTATCCCTTCTCTGGAGCAGCAAGCTCCATGCAATTCCCTCCCCTTTAGCAGTCACATCGCTGCTTAGGAAGCCTCTCTGACCTCCCACCTTTCCTTTTTCCCATAGCAGCCATATGTGGATCTCTGTCCTCCACAAATGGCTGGAATCTCATTCTCTCCATGTATTCTGCCTCTCTTAGCTTTCCAACAGCACTAATCTCCAGAGCACCATGCAATATAGGTTTGTGCTCCCAAAGCAGATCTCCAGGGCGGTGTTGCACAGTCCTAGGCTTCCAACACCTCCCTGCTCTGTTTCTCTTCCTCCTGCCAGTGAGCTGGGGTGGGGGAAGGACTTGGGTCCCACCTGATCAAGGCTTTGGTACGTTACTCTGTTTCGGGAGGTCTGCTCTGTTTTCCAGGTGTATGCAGTCTGGCACAGCCTTCTTTCTTGTTGCTCTTTTAAGATTTGTTGTATTAACTATATTTTCTTATTATGTGTGGTTTTGGGAGGAGTTCTCTGTCTCACCTCTCATGCCACCATCTTTAATCCACCAGAAATCTCTTTTCTTTATTTTCATTTTTATATTTTATTTATTACTCTTTGAGCAGAAGAGATATGTGAAAGTGTGGAGTTAATGAGTCATTTTGATAAAAAAATCCAATGATATATTTTCAATATTCGTAGCTACTTCCAAATTTGGGGAGAATTACTGAACTTCTCAGAACCTGTTTCTTCATCTTTGAAACAAAGGTATTGGACCAAGGTCCTTAAAATCCACTTTAATTCTAAATTCTGTAGTTTCTGTAACCTATAACCTATCATTGTGTCTGTGAAATGTGACAAACCAAAGTAAAAACAGAGTCAGTGTCGCTAAGGGAAACAGCTAAAATGGACTGGGAGGTCCTTAAGGAAATGGAGTCTACACACATTGGCAGCTTCCCATCTCAGAAAAATGCCATACGTAGTTTGCTGCTAAACCACATTTCTGAGACCACCATTTGTTATGGATTTTTATGGACACTAGTGTCGCTCTGGCCATAGCAACCAATCAGGAACTGAATAATGTACAAATTTATCTGTCAGCTCCAATTACAAACATTCAAAACAACTTGTGTAAATGAATTAACATCTTGCTGATTACCTTTAAAACTAAATTTTGTCAGCAGTTTGGAGCAGAATTTGGGTTGCTACCTAAATTTGTATCTCCTGGATTGCAGTCCCTCAGATTGCAAATAAACTCAACCAATTATTTTATGGCTCTGGCTTTTTTTGGTTGACATGTCCATGTTCCCTCAGCTAATTTGTAGTTTAGGAGCGTTGGGGCCCATGTTTTCTGCTTTCTGGCTCAAGAGCTGTTTCTGCCATGCCTCACAACTATCTTCATTGGAAACATTGATCAGAGAATCAAGAAATGAAACCACAGCATGCCACACGAACCCTATCCCATCTTCCAACGAAAAAGCTGGAGATTTCTCCAGTTTTTCTTCTAGGCAAAACTGGTTCTTGTACTACTGTGTGGAATTCCAAACAGAAGATTGGATAAGGTTTCAAAAGAAGAATCTCATGATATAAGTTGATTCTTACACGAAGAACGAAGGGCAGCAATTGAGAAAGAAGCTTTTTAGCTTGATTATTACAATCACAGAAAAATAGGAGCAACAATCAGTATAAGTAAGCAACATGCCTGATACAGAACTGGAAGAGATGGTGATCAGGGGATGGCTCTGAAGTCATAAAACAATTATAATTACCACATTATTGATAAAGTAGGACCTGGCAAAAAAAATAATCTGTTGCTTTCTAGTTGCTAACTAAACCAACTGAAGAGATGGTTTTTAAAAGCCACAAAACTGAAACATTCAGAAAACTGGTAACATTTTTTTCAGCCAATTAAAGGAATCCCAGCTCCTGTTCTGACACAGCTCCTGTTCTGACACAGCTTGTTTATAGATAGCTTAAAACACCAATCTATGGACAATAAGGAAGGTTGTGTTGTGTTTAGGACATAATGAATTGAACAAGTTAAAAAATTCTAGCCCTGGGGTCTAGTGTGACCTCTGCAGCTAATCAGCTGTATGACTTGAGAGGGAGTGTGGGTAAAATTGTAATATTTCCAGAATATCTCACCTGTCTTTAGTACATCTGCATATCAGTAGGTGTTCAGAGGTGGAAAGAAGTATGGCTTTAGTGCATTTGCATCATTCCTCAGGGGTGGAGAGAAGTTCATCTCTATATCAATGGGTAATTACCTGGGCAATGGAGGGCTTCTCTGTACCTGAGAGGTGAGGGGGAGGGCCAGTTTTGCTTCTGTTGGAGGAGGAAAGAGAGAAGGCCCCAGACTGCAGGTTTTAAACTTTATCTCTCCCTTTGACTGATTCCAGTTTTTAGAGGTGTTTTGCCCCAGGATTTCCTCTCCCTGGACTTATAGGAAGCAATGAGTTACCTTCTCCAAGTCTCATGTTATTCTTATCTGGAAAAAGGAGTGAGCTCCAGAGAGTATGTGATTGCTAGAACAAGCAAGAAAATATATCATGAAGTTAAGAGAATTTTTTTTTTTGCCTTGAATTCTGTACTTGGTTTTTAAACACAAAGGGCCCTAGTTGATTGAATTAGTTCAATTTTGAAACTCCAAAGGAAAAGCATAAACATAGTAATATAAGTTGATTTAGTTCTTAAAGATCACAGGCATAGGTGAGTGGGAATTTAAAGGAACAGTTTAAAAAATCCAGCCCTGCTATGATTTAAAAAACCTATACCGAGCCCTCTCTCCACTGAGCCTCCAACTCCGTTTGGGACCTGCGTTGGCATAACCTATGATCTGGATCAGGCTGGAAAGGAAGTGTCTGATGGGACATCTTTTTATTGTCTCTAGCACTTGGCCTCACCTTAGCTCGTGACATGAGTGGATTATTATTGCTGTTGGCTAATTCTCCCCTGAAATCTTCCTGATTGTGATGTAACACAGGCAAATCATTTTCCAGAGTGAATAAACTCAGGCTTAACTACCTGAACCTCTTTTTTTTGTTTTTGCATTAAAGTTGATATACCATATTGTATTGGTCTCAGGTATACAACAGAGTGACTTGGTAATTATATACATCACTAAATGCTCACCATCGTAAGTATAATTACTCCGTTACCATATCAAGATACTTCAGTATTATTGGTTATATTTTCTATGTTCTGCTTCCATTCCTATGACTGATTTTACAATTTTCAGTTTGTATCTCTTTATCCCCTTCACCTATTGCACCCATTCCTCTGCTCCCCTGCCTGAACCTCTTACATCTTGTGCCAGTCCCTTTTTCCCCAATCCAGGTCAAATGTTAATTTTCTGTTTGGGCCTTTTAACAGTCTAGTGAAAGAATCATGAGTTTTGTAATGATTTGGAACTGGGAGAGAGGGACCAAAGCTTTTGTGCTTCGAATTGAACTCTAAAGAGGGTCTGTGAGAGCAATCCACTGAGGTCAGCAGGACCACTGCTTTCTGACCCCAACTTTGATGGAAGTGAAATCAGGGAAAACAATCTACAAGATCTCTCTTAATGCCCTCTGTTTGCTAGCTCTAGAAGCTTAACCTCCCTTCATTCACACCCCGCCCTCAGGATGGATCAAGGTAAAGGGCAAACCCACTAATGTGAAGGGAAGTAGTTAAGCTCAGAGAGAGTAGAGGGCAGGTTTGAGGTGTCTGGGTCAAGAGCTTGCATTCTCTTTGAGGCTGTAACTAACTGACTTCCAAATTAGGGTGGGTGAAGTTTCAGCATCTGATACAAGTGCCCAGCACAACACAGGTGCTCTGTAGAACAAATGTGGAATGAACTGATTGAGTTAAAAAAATTTGAGCCAGGTATGGTGTCATTTAAAGAATAAAATTAATGCAAGTAAATTTGGAGATCTAATTGGCTTTATTGAGCAGTTCATGAACTGGGGAGCATCCCTTTCAGCAAGTAAAGAGATGCTCCCAAGGGCAGAGGTTTGTAAAAGCAGGACAAGGAAGTCATACAGAGAAAAACAGGATTATTTCAGGTGAGGTCACCTTCATCTGAGGACAAAAGGGTTTTTATTAGGTGATTTCCTCTGGGGGATGCGGAGGACACAGGTCACATTATCTTATCAATGCTGACCTGAAAATTCCTGACTGACTACATTTCTGGGGAGGTTGAAACTATAGTTAAATTAGGTGCTGGATTTTGTGACTTAGTCTAGCAGAAGTGACACCATGGTGGGCCTCTGTCTTTTTTTTATTAACAGGAGGTTGCTCCTGAAGCTGTCTTCTGACTTTTCCTCTCTCCTTCTGATGGGCTGATCAAGGCCAGGAGTCCTGGGGCTCACACGCCTCCTGAGAAAGCCTGGACCAGCTGAGTGAGAGGTGAGCGACACATGCTCCTTGAATGTGTTGCTTCTGTGCTCAGTTGGTAGTTCCTATCTTCCTTTTCCTTACAGTTGTAGTAGTCAGAGCCAGAGAAACATGAATGCAGACTTTGGGAGGAAAGGGCCTCGGGAGTTCCTTTGCTCTTAGGCTCTAGGCCCGCCTTAGCCAAGTGAAAGAGATCTTCCACAAGGGCCAGCCCAGCTTACTACACTCTGCCCAAGGGTTTGGACCAAGTCTTATCACATGCATTTGCCTGGCCTTGACTTTTGTGCTTTTGTTTTCATTTCCCTCAAGGACCTAAGGTGGGAAGGGAGCCAAGAGGTGGGAATAGGAGGAGAGGCCTTTGAAATACTGAGTCCCTGCCCTCCCTCCATCTCTCTATAGATCTCTGTTCCTTTTTTTTTTGGTATCATTAATCTACAATTACATGAAAGACATTATGTTTACTAGGCTCCCCCCTTCACCAAGTCTCCCCCACATCCCCATTCACAGTCACTGTCCTTCAAAATAGTAAGATGCTGTAAAATCACTACTTGTCACCAAGTTCACAGTCACTGCCCTTCAACATAGTAAGATGCTGTAAAATCACTACTTGTCTTCTCTGTGTTGCACAGCCCTCCCCTTGCCCCCCAATACTATACATGCTAATCGTAATGCTCCCTTTCTTTTCTTCCTGCCCTTATCCCTCCCTTCCCACCCATCCTCCCCAGTCCCTTTCCCTTTGGTAACTATAGTCCATTCTTGGGTTCTGTGCTTCTGCTGCTGTTTTGTTCCTTCAGTTTTCTTTTGTTCTTATACTCTACATATGAGTGAAATCATTTGGTACTTGTTTTTCTCCGCCTGGCTTATTTCACTGAGCATAATACCCTCTAGCTCCATCCATGTTGTTTCAAATGGTAGGATTTGTTTTTTTCTCGTGGCTGAGTAATATTCCATTGTGTATATGTACCACATCTTCTTTATCCATTCATCTACTGATGGACATTTAGGTTGCTTCCATATCTTGGCTATTGTAAGTAGTGCAGCGATAAACATAGGAGTGCATCTGTCTTTTTCAAACTGGAGTGCTGCATTCTTAGGGTAAATTCCTAGAAGTGGAATTCCTGGGTCAAATGGTATTTCTATTTTGTCTGTTCCTTTTTAATATGACTTACATTATTCATGGAAATCTGTCTGGAGGATCTGTGGTCAGAAGCTGAAATATTGTCCATCTACATGCCAACTTATTGTTCCATTGAACTCAGGCATGCTGGAAGGCAAGAAAGAATGACAAGAAGAACTAACAGATTGAGACCTTACTGTGCAAGGCCCTGGACTGAATTATTCACCTATGGTCTCACTCATGTATCCTCACAATAACCCATGAGGTAGATACTGTAATTATTTCCATTTTACAGATGAGGAAAATGAGGCTCAGGGCGAGGTACCTTGTCCAAGGTTAAGAAGACCTAGGTCTAGGAGACAAATTCTAGCAGTCTGACTCTGGAGGCAGGATTCTTACCTGTCATATGTGTCTCCCTCCGTCACCAGTGCATACTGAGCAACAGCCAGCAATGTGCTTGCTGTGGCCTAGCCTGAAGGGAAATTCTGGCACGCTAAGACCCCCACCCCTTAAGATCCAATCACCAACGACCAGATGGTCAACCACCCCTTAAGTTCCAATCACCAACAACCAGGTGGTCGCCCATTCCTTAAGATCCAATCACCAACGCAGAACACACCCTACACACCCTACCCCTACTCCTTAAAAACACGCTTCCTCACCCACTAGCTGCTGCTCCTTTTCTCTGGGAACAGCCATTTTCTCTTTCAAATAATATAATCTCTTGCTTGGGCCCATGTCTCCTGAGTCATTCTGGGGTAAGGAGGGTCACAGTGAGATACCCTCTCATTGGTGCCGTGACGCGGATGAGGTTCTCCCATTGACTTTGCTTTTCCTCCGGGAATCTGAGCTGCTTTGGGAACCCTCACTACCCAATCCTCCTCCACGGGCTCACTGTCCATTTCCCTGGTCACTTGTCTTCTCGCCCAATGCCAGCCTTCAATTTGGTAAGTCTCCCCTTCATGGTCAACTTAAATGTCCCTTTGGAAACTGGAAGTGACCATTGAGTATCCAGCAGCCCCAAGGGCTCCTCCAGGACAGGGGCACCCCCAACCACGACTTTCGGAGTCGCGGTTGATCCCCATAGTTGACCCATCTCTGCCTCCCTATGGTGAGAATCCTCATTCACTGAGGCCCGGTCTCCCTTTATCTAATCGTAAACTCATGGTACCAGGTACTGAGCCCTCTCACTGTTTTCACCTCTACCGCTCAGTTAGAGGTGGTGACAACCCCCTAACTGTGTCTGGTCTTCTCCGTGACCTCAGTTGCTCTGGATGCTTCAGCGACTTGTTGAACGGTCTCATTCTCACCATGGGATCTGGCCCCTCCATTCCCGCAGTGCCATTGCAGGAGCCACAGCACCTCCCTCCTCCTCCTCCACAACCAGTTCCTCTTCCCTCACCTAGTCCTGCGCCAAGCCCTCCAGTTACTCCCTCTCAAACCCAGATTCTAGCCCCACTATGGGAAGTAGCCAGTACAGAGGGCATCTTCTGGTCCATGTCCCTTTCTCTCACTCCACTCTATCTCAAATTGAGAAAAGATTAGGCTCTTTCACCTCCAACCCAGCTACTTACATAAAAGAGTTCCAGTACCTAACTCAGTCATATGATCTTACCATTCATGATATTCACATGATCCTATCCAACACACTTTTGCCTGAAAAGCATAGGCGAGTGTGGGAACAGGCTAGAACTCATGCTGATGAAGTTCACCAAAATACTCCAGTTTATCCAATTCGTGCTGAGGCAGTTCCTGACCAAGACCCTAATTGGGACTATAATATGACAGGAGTCGAGATCAATTCATCACCTGCCTCATGGTGGGTCTCAGGAAGTCAACCAATAAAGCCATTAACTATGAAAAACTCCAAGAGGTTATTCAGGATAAAAATGAGAATCCCTCTATGTTCCTAGACCGCCTCACCAAAGCTCTTTTACAATATACAAACCTAGACCCTGAGACCTCAGATGGGAGACAATTATTAATGACCTATTTCTTCACCCAGAGTTTCCCCAACATTAAGGCTAAACTTAAACATCTAGAGAAGGGACCCTTAACTCCTCAGGCAGAAGTCCTGGCAGTGGCCTTCAAAGTATATAATGGAAGAGATGAAAAGGCTTGTAAACAAAAATATCAAATGCTGGCTAAGACCTTTCAACCTATCCCAACCACTGGTGCTCAGGTATCCTCACTTCCAAGAAGCAGCCAGGAGGACCTCCTGGTCCATGCTTCAAATATGGTCAAACAGGTCATTGGGCTAGCACCTGCCCAAATCCCCGGAAGCCCCCCGGTCCATGCCCTAAGTGCCATCAGGAGAGACACTGGGCTGTTGACTGTCCTCGCACACCTAGAGATGCCAGGCCATCCAGCTCTAACACTCCACACATAGACCTTCTGGGTCTGGCAACCGATGATTGTGGGGGCCCAGGACTCCTCCACCCGACCACTACCATCACTGTACAGGCGCCCAGGGTAACCATTGTGGTAGTGGGTAGGCCCATCTCTTTCCTTTTGGACACCGAGGTCACCTACTCAGTCCTGAAGGAGTTTTGGGGACCTATCTCCCTCTCACAGTCCTCTATAGTCGGGCTAGAGGGCACACCTTATCAACCTTTGCAAACTCCCATGCTTCACTGCCTCTTTAGAGGCATTGCCCTCTCTCACTCCTTTTTGGTGATTCCCCAGTGTCCCATCCCCCTTATGGGAAGAGAGCTATTACACAAGGTTGGAGCTTCCATTATTTTCACTCCCTAACTGCGCCTCAACCCCGACTTGCCTTCAATCCCACTTTTACTCACCCTCCAACCTACTGCAAACCCACCTCCCTCTCCTTTTCCTCTGCCACCCCATCTGGTCATCCCTGTAGTCTGGGATACCCTCACCCCCTCTATTGCCACCTGACCCCCAGTAATTATCAAACTTAAAGACCCCACCTCTTTTCCCTCTCAACCTCAGTGACTGCTGCCCCTCAAGAGTTTACTGGGCCTGCAACCAATTATCCACGAACTTTTATACCAACAGCTACTACGACCAGCCAGTTCCACTTACAGCACCCTGACCCTGGCTGTCAAAGACCTAATGGCTCTTATAGGCTAGTTCAAGATTTAAGAATTATCAGTGCAGCTGTTATTCCAATCCATCCAGTAGTCCCTAACTCCTACACTTTATTATCCACTATCCCTACCTCTTCTACTTACTTCTCCTTTCTTGACCTCAAAAATGCATTCTTCACGATTCTACTCCATCCCAATGGGACCACTTACACCTTCAACTCCACAGACTAGAAATCCTCCAGTAATCTACTCTGCAACCCAAACAGGACCTCCTTACTGCTGCATAAGGCAGCATATGTGCCCTACTCCAAGAACAATGCTGCTTCTACACCAACAAATCCTGTCTCGGCTGGGATGGCACAAAACACTTCCATGAACAAGCCTCCAAACTCCTAGAAAACTCCCCTAACAATCTGTTCCCTTACCCCTTCAATTGGCTCCTGCCCCTCCTAGCCCCTATTACCTTTATTATTATTTTTTTTTTCCTTCCCTACTTCATTAACCTATTCCAAATTTCATTCAAAATCAAATTTTGAAAATTTCTAACCATACTGTCAACCAGTTACTCCTCCAGGGCTATCAACGCCTTCTCACGAAGAATAATGAACCCAGCTAGATGACATCACAAATCATCTCAGGATGCCCGCCCTTTCCCAACTCTACAGCAATGGCCTCGCTAACCCCAGAATCTGTGCCCCCTTCCAGCAGAAGTAGCTAGAGAATGAGATTCTACGCCCAGTAACCCAGAGGCCCAATTAAGAAAAGAAAAAGATGGGATTGAAGGCAAATTCTGGCTTGCTAAGACCCCCACCCCTTAAGATCCAATCACCAATGACCAGATG